AGGTTTTGCCTGCGTTTGTTATTGAAGGGTTTGGACCGTCTTATCTGTATGAAAAGAGACGGCAGTACTATGTGTAGTTTATGTCTTTCGTTACTATTTTGTACATACTAGTACTCATCTTGAAGATTTGAGTTTTTGTTTAATATCGACGTCTATCGATAGGTCAACCAAGTGTACCAGCTCGTTACTCAATTCTACCTGCATAATACTACCTGTAGGATGGTCAATCCGACGACGTCACTCTCTAAGCCGTGTCGTTTATGTTTGTTTATCCACTTTTCCATCTTGATTCCTAACTACCACCACCTCAACTACTATCATCCTACACTGTCTTTACATTATTCGCTCTTTATAATCCCACTACTAGCCCAAACACCACATATCTATCCCACCAATCTACGAAAATCATGACCGGGACCTCCTCGCAATTCACGTTCTCGGGCACGACCCGCTACATAATACTCGGGAGTGCTGCTGGTCTAGGCATCCTCGCCGCTCTCGCGTTATGGGCGTTTGTCTTCTGCAGGAGTAGGAGTAGGAGACTCGGATCGTGTAAAGTCGGATTTATGGCTGATGATTGTGCTGGACTTGTTGATGGGAGATCGTTCACCTCGCAGGTTAGCTCGTTTCGTTTATTTTTTCTCCTCCCGTCTTCGGGTCTTTGAGCAAATGCGATGTGAAGGACAATCTCTCATCTCGCTCTCTATACAATGACATCTATCATCATCTATCCTCGCGCGTTCAGTGTTGTTGATCTCAATCTTTCATCTATATAGGGAACGCTCAAAAGCGTTTACAACGACGACAAGTATAGCAAATTGAAGCCGCTCAAGCTCCTACAATGCTCCAAGGATCAGTTCAACTTCCAGGAAAAGAACAACACAAACGCGAGCTTGGATTATGATTATTGTCATCAACATCAACATCAACATGATCAATATCATGATGCGGCTCTACCTCAACATTCCGCTGATCGTCCGCCAAGTAGACCTCCTGGGCTACTCTACGTCTCTCAGCTTCGTCACCCTCGCCATGTGAGTGGGGGCCTCAACGTTCAAGGCAGTCCGGCTTCTCCGCGGTTTTCTTCCGTCAGACGCGATTTCTCGTTTGGCTCTACTTCTTCTGCTTCAACTCCCGTCCCGCCTGCGTCCGACCCAACCATCCCAACATCCGCATACATCCTAGACGGAATACCCAACCTCTGCTCTCCACCTTCAACATCGCCCAAGGAAATCGTCGAATGGATCCGGTCCGACTCGATCTTGAGTGCTCATGATGGGTATGTGCTCGCGAGGGAGGACTCGCTTCAAGTTGGCGTGTTTTCAAGTTCGTTCGGCTCTCCTCCAGCAACTGGATCTGGATCTCCAACGCAGCAAGCGCATGTCTCTTTGATGCTGTCTTCTTCAACGCTGAATAAAACGGCATACTATGGTGCTCGGGAATACAGGAACAATTTTTTCGCTGCTGATTCACTGGTTCAAGCTGGTTCACGATTCAAAGGGGCTATGCGTGTACCCAGTATCGAGCATCTGTTTAATGAACGATGTGAGCTTGGTCCGCTAGAGCATGGAACAAGGTGGGGACCAATTCTGTATACTCTTGACAGACCTTTAATTGTGCGCGAAAGTCCAGCGCTTTTTTAATCTGGTAGTCACTTTATGACTTTGAGAGGGGGGTAATTGTTAACGTTTATCTATCTGTAATATCTTACAATACTTGCTAATGTTGTCACTGCATGCATGACTAGATAAGTGGTCCAAAACTATGTTCAACTTATTTTGAACTCTCGAATAATGGGAAAATCCTAAGTAGCCCCACATATGGTAAAACATATTTTAAACATATTTTTAAAAATGACCATATATGTAAATTTATGGTCAACTTTTGGTAGAAAATCTAATTATGTTTACCATATATGGTGCTACTTAGTATGTTCCCATTATCCGAGAGTTCAAAATAATTTCATCATAATCTGGGACCACTTATTTGGTCATGCATGCAGTGTGTATTTGAAACACCTAATGCGCAACATCTGTCTACTCAAAAATGCTTGGTAACCTTCCTGAGGCTTCTTCGAGTGAGTCCATTTTGGATTTACTGTGCTTTGAGTTTTGATGGGCCCTCGACAGATATGACCATGGATCCTGGAGGCCAACTTGTGATCGAACAGCGGGGCTTTCCCCTCTGGCCCTCTGGAATCCAAGGACTGATTATAGCTAGTGACTGCGCAGTACTCAATCATACACAATCATACACATTGCTTGCCTGTGCTTGTTGAACATTGCAACATTGAACTACAGCGTCCCCAAGAAGTCAGAACCCTGTCGATATCCCCATTCTAATTTCTGTGACCAAGCTGGACTAAGACTAGGAGTGTCAATTTGATAGATGTCATTGCCTGGAACCCACTGCAGGCAGAGGCCAGAAGCAAAATCGGCAACATGGAAGAGGGAGGACGGCCCTGAGTCTTCTGCCTTTGCATCTTACAACAGGGCCCCTGATAATAGGGCACGAACCCTTATCGAAAATTGGTCCGATCTTGCCATTATTGTGCGAACCGATGTGGCCAAATTTCCATCGAGAATTGTGCGAACCTGGGGGTAGGTCCAAAAATCTCGGCCCAAAGCCCTAGTATATCCAATGCCGCCGAGTGCCGCACAGTGCCGCCTATTCTGAGGCCCAAAATCGGTCCAAAATCGACAACATTTTGTGCGAACGGCGCTGAGGCTCCGCCTGCGGCGACCATCATTGTGCGAACTAAAATTTGGGTGAGCAGCCATTTTTGAGGTCAAAATTGTGCGAACTGAGATCAGTCATCCCACCCTATTATCAGGGGCCCTCTTACAACTCATGCAGCTCTTGTTGTTCAGGGAGCAGTATGTTTGCTTAGAACCGGGTCTATAATTTCATGCGTGGATTTGAATTCCAAAAGGCTTGGACCAGGAAGACCAGGATCAGATAGTAATTCCTGTTGGTCATCCATGAAGAGAGAAGACTCAACCTTTGAAGCATCAGTCATAATAATGTACTAAAAGGTTTCAGGAGACTGCATTGGTAGATGAGAGATTCGAGATCTTTGTACACCGATCATGTTCTGACAATGAGAAGAAACCATTGCCCACGCGGAAGGGATAGAAAAAAACAAGTAAGAGAGTAAAAAGCAGAAGTCTAGATGTCTAACTTGTTGTCAATTTTTTTAGAGCTTATTAGTAGCCCAATCGAAACATTTTGATTCAACCCAAAAGTTGGTCATTTAGATCCAAGTTCTGACCCTGCCAGCTACTCCAGAGTCCACAGCTGCCATTTTGATTGAGAAATGCCAGTTGTTCTTGACAGGCTCAAACCAGTCCTCGCTACTAGTACAGATGGAAAGAATTTGAGTGGCCACATTGTATTTTTGTTTCTCTCCTCAGTCTGATGGAGAGAAACAAGAAAACATTTACCCCATATGACCACAGAAATTCTTTCTCAGCATAGCGAGGGATGGTTTGAGGGGCCTGTGTTTTTGACCGGAAAAATGTTTCGATTGGGCTGCTAATAAGCTTGAGTATTTATATAATCTCATAATAATAATAAGCAAACATAACTTACAGTATCACTACGTAGGCCCGGAGGTGAAGCACTGAGGCTGAGGCACCCAGTACATCATCCAATACACGGGATAGTACACAATCATTGGCAAGTAGTGCACATGCTGTACTACATGGTGAATAATTTCGTGGGTGAATCTGGTAATGGTCCAGCGCCGTTTCTTGTTGGACCTATGAGTTGATTTCGCAGTTGACTGGTATTGTTCTGTAGTGGCAGCACCATCTCTGTTTATAAGTATGTGTAAGCAGTTGCTGGTGTTGTTGAGTTATGTATAGGCTTACCTAGTTTCATTGGCAGAATCTCTTGAGTTCACTTCACCATCTGGTGTCATCTTTGTATGGTCATTCAATCGACAACGTTTGAATACACATTTCCGGAAGAACAAGTTCAAGTTGTTGGATCGGTCAATGTTGGTCTTCAAATGCATATCACCAGTGATTGCATTAAAATCTCCCCCATTGATGGTGAAATCATGAGCATGTTTGAATAGATTTGGAGCTCCTGGTCCAGCACAAGTGTCAGGTTCTATCTTGTTCAGCACATCGTCATGGCCTGCATTGGAATCTCTACCTGCTGGTATATCATCGATGCGACCCGATAAGTGTGCAACACCCTCGGGATCCTTCACCCGGTCATCTTCGCACTGTTCATCGTCAGCATCAGCAATCTCATCAGGTGTCTCTAGGGAATCATAATTTCAAGATGCATGGCCCCCCAGACTTGACAGAACTCACGATCTTTCTCAAGAATTGAGTCAAACTTGGGATATAAGGTTTCTCTGTACTGCTTGGGCCCATGTAATTGCTCTTCGGCATTGACTATCTGTAAACCTTCTGTATCTAGTGTACTCTTGGCTAGAATATGACAAAGTTAGTCAGTTCGGAATCGGAGAAATTCAGCAACTAATAAGCTAATAACCCTCAGTGCGAAGACTGGCATGGAACAGTAGGCGTATGCTCTCCGGGGACATCCTAGCTTTGAATGAACGTGACGGTTCCATGCGATTCAACAGATCGATAGGGATACAGTGGTAAGAGGGGATTTTGGAAGAGTCGCCTGAAATGCTTCGAAAGTGTTCAGTGCTGTCTGGAGTCTGGAGTCTGTAGAACAGTAACAAGATGCCCAGTGATGATGATCGATGAAAATCTGTAGTGGTTACTAGTAAACTGGGTGATAATCGATAATCGATTATGTACACAGCATGTACACAGCATATAGGATTTTGTAAGGATTTTGTATCGGCGACTGAGGCGATTGTGAGTTGTTCAGCGTTGGGCGCTGTTGGGCGTCAACAGGCGTCAACGCCGCCGCGTCAAAATTAAATTAAAACGTTAAGTTCATCTAGATTAGGAGGATCAGTTGAGAGAATTCTACTCTTGTTGGTTATAACTTGGGATAAACATGAATATGGCCGCCTGGCGAAATGGCATCGCGTCTGACTACGATCGATTCATCATTCTCCATATCGTCAATCAGGAGATTGCAGGTTCGACCCCTGCGGTGGTCAATATTCTCTTTCATCGGAGACCTGGAGTTTTTTTTTCTTTTGTCTTCTTACATAACATACCTTTGCTGGCGTTGGAGGTGTTGATTCTGAACGTTGGGATTGGAGGTCACGTTGGAGCCTGGAGTCTGGAGTCTGGAGATGTTGGTGAGGCCTACATAGGGTTGGTGGTGTGGCAGGTGTGTGTGGCAGGAAGGGTATGTAAGCGCTGAAGCTGAAGCTTTGAAGCGCGGGTCTAACTCGTTACTCTCCTCCAGGACCTCAACATCAAACGTTCCGCGTTCAAGTTGGATCAACGTTGCATCCGCTAACGAACAACGAAGGACACGAACGAAATTGTAGGGAGACTAGGACGAAGAACGAAGAACGAAGAACGAGGCGAACTCTGGCGGAGGAGGAATCGAATCTTGTTTGGGCTAATAGTAACTGGGTACGTCTTCGTGATCTATCATCTCTTCTCCATCTTCGTGATCACTTTCGGAGTCGTCTCTTCGTTCTCTTCGATTCGTTCTGAATTCTAAACGTCCAAAATTTAAAGCTTAAAGCTTCTCTAAGCTTTCAAAGAGTCGGAAGAACCAAGATACACGCTCACGCGAGGATACTTACTTACACGTTCGCGCCCGGAACTCGATTCTAATTTCTGAATACACGAGGACACAGGAGGACACAGGAGGATTCGCGGAACACGATTCTGGGTACGACTGGATACGGATTAGTACACGGATTACGGATAACGCCACATTTCTGGATTCTGGATACATCATACTCGATACTCGATTTCTGGATACGCTGCACGATTCTCGATACACTCGATACACTCGATACACGATATTCGATATTCGACAATCGATAGTCGATACCTCACGAACCTCGACATTCGATATACGATTCTGGATACGCACGCTTCATTCTGCATACGCCATACACGATACTGAATACACGCCACACTCGATACATCATACGCCACACTCCATAACATCACAAGAAGTCTCCGAAAACCATACAGTGATACACGACCTACGACATAACATCGGGAATCTCGAGGAATCCCGAAAATCAACACGGATAGAACCAACGAACGAAACACCTCACAAACTTCACGAACGGGTTAGTAGATGACCACCATTCAAGCTCAAGCCCAACCTCCTCCCTTAAATCCCTTAAATCCCTCCAACCCCTTCAACCCCTCCAACCCCCTCCCCCCACCTCCAACCCCTTCAACCCCTCCAACCCCCTCCCCCCCACCTCCAACCCCGACCCAGACTCCAAGCCCATCGCGCTCATCCTCCCACCGCCCCCTCCACCCTCGGTCCAAATCCCAAAACGAAGTCTAGGAACACATAAGTATAACAACGTCTACCCCGGCCCGCACCTGGCCGTCACGGGCCAGTCGATGCTGAACATGGGGTACGCGGTGGGCGTTGGGGGAGGGATACCGGCGGGTGTGGGGGTTTCGGTTGGGGGGGTGGTTGGGGGGGAGGGGGGTTGGTGGGGAGAGAGGGGTAGGTGGGGGAGGGATTGGGGAGAGAGGGGTAGGTGGGATTAGGAATGGGCCAACAGGACAAACACTCGCAGGCTCGAGAGGAATAGGAACACCCGGCGCGATTACGGGTATGGGAGTGGGAATGGGGAGTTTGGGAGGGATGGGGACGAATATGGGGTTGGGAGGAGGGGGGTTGGGGATGGGTGGGATGGGGATGGGTGGGATGAAGGGGGGGATGGCGATAGGAGGAGGAGGAGTGAATATTGAGAGAGGTGGAACTGTTGGGGGAAGTGCAGGAGTAGGAACAGCAGAAGGAACAGCAGAAGGAACAGCAGAAGGAGGAGGAGGAGGAGGAGGAGGAGGAGGAGGAGGAGGAAACACACCGTCACCGACCTTGACGCTGGCTGAGCAGTATCAGCAGAATGAGGAACAGTATTTAAAGTTGCATAGAGACTTGTCGGAGAATCCGCCCCCGGGTGTTCGTAAGTCTCTTTCTCTCTTTTTCTGAGTCTTTTTATTTTTTTTTTCGTCGTTTTCTACCTCTTTTGTCGTTATCTCAGTTTTTTTTCGTTCTATTTTTTTTTTGTTTTCCTATTTCCGTCTGCTTTACATAGTCTCTTTCTTTCCCTTTTCAAGATCATTTTTCATTTTTCAAATTTTCAAATTTTTCAAATTTTTTCATTCTAAACTGAACCAAAACACAAGGGATGAACCCACACAACAAAATCCCCCGTCCTGCGCCTATCCCCAACTTTCCCAACGTCCCCTCACAGCCCATCCCAGGCCGCCATGCGACTATCTACCCAAACGCTGAGCATCATTCTCTGAGGCCGCATCCAACGCCTAGTCGCCTTCCTACCTCTTCCACTCCCTTGTCTTCCTCCCACCCCTCTTCCTCCCACCCCTCTCACCCTTCCTCCCTCCCCAAATCCCTCCCCAACCCCCTCCCACACACCCTCCCCCCCGGCCTCACCGGCCCCATCCCGCTCAACCCGTCCCTCGTCCCATGGCATCTCCGGAACCTGCCCACGGCGAACCCGGACGATATCGTGTGCGAGCTGAGGCATCCGATTCAGATGTTTTCGATGGGGATGGGGATCGGGATGGGGAGGGGGATGGGGATGGGGATGGGGATGGGGATGGGGATCCGCGTGGTGCCGGATCCGGGTGGGGTGGATGGACGGGGTGGACGAGGTGGACGAGGTGGACGAGGGGGGTGGATGTAGATATGGATATGGAGGGAAGTGGTGTTGGGAGTGTTAGAGGGAGTGTTAGAGGGAGTGAGCTTGAGGTAGGAGGAGGAGCAGGAGGGGGAGTGGGAGGAGTGGGAGGAGTGGGAGGAAAAGCAGGGCACCCGTCGACTTCGACTTCGACTTCGACTTTGAATTCGACGACGACGACGTCCGAGGTGGCGAGGACTCAGCGGAATCCGTTGATTGAGAGTATGTACCCGACGAGGACGAGGACTTTGTCGTCCTCGATGGGTTCTTCTTTCAATGCGATGAATGCGATGAATGCGATGAACACGACGGGTTTGATGAACGCGACGGGTTTGATGAACGCGACGGGTTTGATGAACACGATGAACACGATGAACACGATGAATCCGATGAACGCTATTAATCCTTCCATAGGCTCGATGGGCTCGATGGGCTCGATGGGCTCGATGGGCTCGATGAACGCGTTGGGCTCGATGAACGCAATGGGCTCGACGAATACATCTATGAACTCGATGAACACAATGAACACAATGAACGCTCATGGTGGACCTCCTCTTCCACCACCACCACCACCACCTCTCCCTCCACATACTATGCAGCCTCCACAACCTCCTCATCCTCCTCCTCATCCCTATCACCCCAATTCGAATGCAAGACAGGGACCAGGACAGGGCTCGAGCGCGAATACAAATACAAATATGAATACAAATACAAATACGAATACGAATACGAATACGAATACGAACACGAACACGAAGTTGACTCCGCCGCATGGACGAGGTGGTGTTGGTCCGGGAGGAGATGATGGACTCGGAGTGGGTATAGTGGGTATAGTGGGTATCGAACTTGGAGGAGATGGAGGAGGAGGAGGAGGTATGAGTCGGATGAACGGGCTGAACGGAAGAGTCAATGGTATGAATGACATGGAGTCTATGGGTATGTGTCCTGGTTTTAACATGAGCGGTGTGAACGATTGAACGATTGAACTTTGATATGGGTCCAGGTTCAGGTTTTGGATTCGGGATGGACATGGAGATGGAGATGGGTATGGGGATGGGTATGGGTATGAGTGGAATGACTGGAATGACTGGAATGAGCGATATGAGTGGAATGAGCGATATGGGGATGGGTGGGATGGGTGGTATGGATACGGATATGAGCATGTGGATGAACATGGACATGAGCGGTATGAGTGGAATGAATATGGGTATGAACATGGGGATAGACATGGGGATAGACATGGACATGGACATGAACATGGATATGGATATGGATATGGAGTTGGAGTTGGATCCGATGTTGGGTACCGGTACGAATATGGGTCTGGGAATAACTTCAGGGATCGGGACTCTGGATGATGTTAGCATGCGTGATGGTGGTGGGATACGACGACCAGGAGGTGTAGTATCAGGCGGAATGCCCGTTCCACCACCACCACCTCATTCTGATAATCCCAACGCCAACAATAACGCTGGTCCTCCTTCGACTTGTTCAAATCCGAATCCGAATCCGAATCCGAATCAAAACCCGTCAAATCAGCCAAACACAAATCCAAGTCCAAGCACATACCCAACCTCGAATCTTAGTAGTCCTAGTTATCCTCTACCTCATCCCCCACCGCCTGGGCCTCATACACATACACATACCCCACCAGCCCTCGAACCCGGCACCGCCCTCGCCCGTCTCCTCCAATTCTCCGACATCCTGGCGTCCGGATCCGAATCCGATTCAAACGAGAGACAGACACTTGCGTGGTGGACCGACCTCGTTCGGGAGTATTTCCATCCCGGGGGTGTGGTACGGTTTACGCTTGGGAAGGATGATCATGCGAGGAGGGGAGAGGGGACTCGGAGGGCGTTTGGTATGTTATGTTATGTTATGTTATGTTCTTCACTTCTGTGCCAGTGGTGTTTCCTATCGCTCATTGTCTTTTTTCTTTCTTGTTTCTGTTGAATCGATTCTCTCCCCCCTACAAACACCATGACTCGTGACAGACATCCCCATCCCCATCCTCCCCCGCCTCCTCCTCGTCACGACGCAGTCCGGGGTCCAGTCTATGACGCTCACGCTCGACGGAGCGCGGGAACGTCCGTACGGACACGACTCTGGAGATGACTATGACTATGACTATGGAGATGACTATGGACACGCGATCGTCGTGGAGTCTGTTGCCGCGGCGTGGACGTGTAGGTATCGGTATCCGGATGGGTACACCGTCGTGCTCAGCGGTCCGTTGAGGGTCAGGGTCAGGGTGAGTGTCGTTATGGACGTTATGGACCGTGCCGCTGCGTCGGATAGGT